ATTTACCCTGATAGTAAAATCCTTGGTACTTTGTTTAAGACAGTAGAGATGGAAAAAAACCTTTAAAAATCCTAAGAATGACTTACAGTCACTTGAGTTATGTTTTACTGACTGCTCTTTCGTTTTGCTCAGGCCGTCAGGCATATGTTTCTAAATTACCTGCATTTTGTAAGAAGAAACAAGGAAGACAAACAAACATGGTGGAACCCCACATGGCTGATCTAAAGTGGGTGGCCAGTCATGTGACAAGATGGTGGACAGTCATGTGCTGAGAGTAGATGATGACTCTGACTAAGATAGCACCCTGGGAAAGAAATGGCAGAAAGAGGAGAAGAGCATAGAAGAGACTTTGAGAACAAAAAGGAGTGAAGTGGGGTGGGTGGCTACTCAGGCAGGCTACCAAGTTACCAACAGCTATTTTCTCCCAAAAGTTAGAAAGCTGAGCAAAGTGTCATGGAGATCTGAAACATGGGGGTCAAAAAGCATACTAAACTATAATAGGCTCTCTGGCTGTTCTTTACTGATTTGTGCCCACAATGAGTGACCAAAAATGGGAAAGAGAAGGGAGAGATATACAGGCCTGTAGGCCTCTTACAGCTGGAAATAAGAGGCCTTCCATTCCCCTTCCCCACACATGGTAAGAAAAGCAGGAAACAATTCCTGTCATCATGAGAAGAATCTCCTCTCCTGAATTCCCCAGCTTAGTGAAGAGAGACAGGGAAAAGGAAAAGGAAAAAAAAAAACTTCATGAATTTTAGAGAGAAACAAACAAAAACAATGTGCCCTAAGGGCCACTGGCTGGCTAAGGGCCATCTCCTGGCTGGCTAAGCCAAATGTTACTGGTTTTAGGGTGCTGGAATCTCCTTCTAGAAGTGGTTTCTAGGTTCTTTTTGTCCTGAGCAAAGACTTGGTCAAGACAAGCACAAATGGCAGCAAAGTTTTATTAAAGGTGGGAAAAGAAACAGCCTCTGCAGAGTGAGTTTGGGCAAAGTAAAAGTTGGAAAAGAAGTACCGTGCACCCTACATTGTGAGGGTGGGCCACCATGCAAGGGAGAAAGGACACAGTGGCTGGGGATTGTTTTTAAATCTAATCTTTCAGTTTGTGTCGTTTTTTATCCTAATGTAATGCAAGTATATATTTATAAAGAAAATATAAAAAGCACTCTTCTGTGAAAAAAACACAAAATTTTGTAACAAAATAATTGGGGAATAACAATAATTAATATACTGTGTATCATGTTCTTAAAAGAATAGCCAAAATGTTACTTAGAGTAGAAGTCTTATACACAAAAGACACCCTCTTAAAAGAAGAAACAAATATGAACAAAGAGAAGCTAGTAGCATAAGTGAAACAAATTAACATGTATCTTAAAATACTTTTTAAATAGTGGAGTAGATAATTAGGGGAATTACTTGAATCAGTCTCTCTCTCTCTCTCTCCTATTTAACCTTGTATTGGTATTCTCAACTGCTTTTCTGTATTCCAATATCTGGATTGCCTGGAAAAAGGGTCATAAACAATAGTGGCTTATTCCCAAAGAATTGGGCATTGGGTCAAAGGAGCTACAAACCCCCATCATAAAAAACAAAGAAGTAGAAACAGGAGAAAACAAGGCAACACTTTTTTTTTTTTTTTTTTTTGGTACTAGGGATGAACTCGGGTCTTTGCGCTTGCGTAGCAGGCAGCGAAACCACTGAGCTAAATCCCCAGCCCTGTTGTTTTTCTGATGTTTGATTTTTTAATAATTCTTAACACTTATCTGTTCTTCCTCTTCTGTGGGTAGGATTCCTTTAAGTATCTTCTGCAGTGCTGGCTTAGTGGTCATGAATTTTAGTTTTGTTTATCTTGGAAGGTCTTTGTTTCTCCTTGGATTTTGAAGGGCAGCTTTGCTGAAAATCATAATGTAGTTTGCCAGCTATTTTCTTTCAGGGCTTGAAATACACCATTCCATTCCCTTCTGACCTTAAGGGTTTCTGCGGAGAAGTACGAAGTTATTCTAATGGGTTTGTCTCTAGAAGTGACTGGGCATTTCTCCCTTGCTGCTTCCAGTATTCTTTCCTTGTTCTGACTCTTGTCATTTTGATTATAATATGATGTGGGATTATAATATGATCTTTTCTTGTTGGACCTGATTGGGGTTGTGAGTGCTTTCTGTACAGGATATTTGTATCTTTCCCAAGGCTTGGGAAGCTTTCTGTTATTTCATTAAATAGATTTTCTATCCCATGAGTCTGAACCTTGATTTCTCTGCCACACCAAAGTTTTCTAAGTTTGGTTTTTTAACCATGTCCCACAGTTTGTGGATGTTTTGTCTGTAATTTCTGTTTTTTGTTTCCCTTTCTTAGTATCTGCGTGTAATAGTTCCTCAACCTTATCTTCAAGCTCTGAAATTCTGTCTTCTGCTTGGTCCTGTGTATTGGTGAGACTTTCCCCTGAGTTTTTGATTTGTCTTACTGTGCTTTTCATGTTCAGAATTTCTTCAGCATCTCTCTTTGTTGAAATGCCCCTTCATATCCTGCATTGTGGTCCTTATTTCATGAAGCTGTTTATTTGCATCTTCTTTTAAGTTGTTTATCATTTTATATATCAGTTCTTTTGAATTCTTTGCCATTCATCCATTTTCATATTTTTGCATTCAGTTACTAATGAACTATAGAAATTTGAAGGAATCTTGTTGCCTTGATATTTCGTGTTTTTTGTGTTTCTATGATGTATGATTGTAAACCAAAGTGAATGCTAAAATTTTTTTTTTTTTTTTTTTTTGGTACCAGGGATTGAATTTGGGGCCTTGCACTTGTGAGGCAGCTGGCAGAACCACTGAGCTAAATCCCCGGCCCAATGCTAAAATTTAAAAAATGTATTCTGGTAAAAGATACATTGCTATTTCAAAAATATTATCAGATCTGATACAAATAGAAATTAAACATTTGACCATCCAAAGTTACATCTGGGAAATATGGGAAAGGAAACTTATAGGGAAATTTCACCTATTATGAGCTGAAAAAATTATAACTGAAATTCATGAAAACTGTTATGGATTACATCTAGATGTCCCCGCAAAGCCTCATGTACTCATAGGTGAGGCTTATCAGAGGTAGCTGGATCTAGGGTGTGTGCTCCTGGGATCAAGGATGTGATGCTGGGATTGATTCATGGTGCAATGCTAAGATTAAAGCTGCCCCACCCTGGGTGTAAGTGCTATTAATCCACCTCAAAATATTTCCCTTGCTTCAAACATACTTACTCATCAGTCTTACCACTTTCTGAAGCATTTCTGAAAGTCCTCTTTCATGAGTGTCTTTAGTTGCACTGTTGTGGCTGCCTTTGTGTCCTGAATTGATTAAAAATGTTTCATGGTCATTTTGACTTTGGGGAAGAACCAGAAGTCACACGATGCCAGATCTGGTGAACCAGGTGGATGAGGACACTCTAGAATGTATTTGTGAGCCTGCCTTTCTGTTGGATGGCACTCAGCAGCAGCACTCACCATAGTTTTATCACTCACCATAAAGATACTCTCAAAAGAAGACTTCTAGAGGGCCAGGGATTTAGCTCAGTGGTGCTGCCGCCTGCCTCGCAAGCACAAGGTCCTGAGTTCAATTCCCGGTACCAAAACAAAAAAAAAAAAGAAAAGAAAAGATAAAGACTTCTAGAACTGCTTCAGCAAGTGGCAAGAGCAATGGGATGAGTGTGTTTGTAGTGAAGGGGAGTGTTTTGAGGGGGATTAATAGTAATGTGCCTTTTAGTGTAATAACTTTTTTTTAAAGACAGGGTCTTGCTATGTAGTTCAGGCTGGCCTTAAACTCACTATGTAGCCCAAATTTGTGGTGATCCTCCTGTCTCAGCTTCCCAAGAGATAGGATTACAGGTGTGCCCCACCACACCGGGCTTAGTGTAATAACTTGTTTTTGTATTTAAACACACACCATTTTTGGTTTTTTTGGGTTTTTTTGGTACTGGGCATTGAACTCGGGTCCTTGCACTTGCAAGGCAGGCGGCAGAACCACTGAGCTAAATCCCTGGCCTTCACACACCGTATTTTTAAAATCACCCTTTATTATTAAGATTTATGCGCCTGCTGGGATGAGTATCTCCTCTACTTTACTATGAGGGTCTTATTGTCCAGCCCTCTTCTGAGGCTTGTGTTTGTGGAGTCAGGCCCTCTGCCTGGGAACTGTGGTTAGCCCTCCAGGCTGCTCCCTCTTTTCTCTGCATTCTCCATGATTTTTAGCTTTCCTGTCAGATCTTTCCTGCTGCCCAGAACTCTTTTCTCTTTCTCTTATTTAAGTAGATATTTTCTAGGTATCTTGACTCTAGGTCTAAAAGAAGCTGTAATTTACTGCTGGGTTCTATTTTGCTGTGCTAATCTTGCATAAGGCACAGTTTAAAAGATTATTTTCTAGATGTAATGTTCTTTAATAACATTTATTGATTCCCTTCCCTACTAGTTTGATTTAGAACAGCTTCACTTTATTAGTATTTTGTCACCTTATTTTCTTTTTATTGACATTGTGTTCTAGTCTTTATTGAGGTGTTCACTATATGAAGAATAATGTATAAAAGACTATGTTGGTCAAAATCTGATTGAATTAATATAAAGTTTCAAAATGTTTGGGGTTTTTTGGGATTTTTTTGTTTTTAGATAGTACTGGGCATCCAACCCAAGGCTTTTGCACATGCTAGGCAAGCACTCTATCATTGAGTTATACTCTCAGCCCTTTTATTACTGTATTTTGAGTCAAGGTCTCATTAAGTAATCTAGGCTTGCCTTGAACTTGCAGTTCTCCTGCCTTAGCCTCCTGGATAGATGGAATTACAGCCATGTGCCCCTGTGCCCAGCTCAAGATGTATTTTAAAGTAACATCTGTCAGAAAATAGATTTACCTCATTGTGGATGAATAATTAACATTTTACAGTTTTCTGATGTTATTGTTAAGATTAATGTGTTAACATATGATCTGAATGTTTTCCTGTGATCCCTCTTCAATTTGTTTTGTAGCATCTCATTGCTAAAGGCTCTATGTATGAAGATCTTCTGGCCAGAACTGAAGATGCTTTACAAATGGATGTTCAGAATATTTTAGGCTCAGAGTCCCTCCAACGCATCCTTACGGCTGGCCTTCAAGCAAAGACTCAAGAAGCTAATGAGAAAATCCAGGTCCCTCTTTGATATTGTCTTTAGTGAATTTATTTCTTAAAATGGAGTGGTTAGTGGATGGGGAAGAGGAAAAGATGGTCCTGAAGCTTAGAGTTGTTTTATAAAATATTTTAAAAAATAATTTAGAGCATATTGAAGATAGAAGCGTAATAAATTAGATATGCCTGTGTCTACTGGAAAAATATAAATTGCTACTGGAAGAAAACATTTGGTAGCTTATGAATGTACTAAGAAGTTGGGCCACTTTTGAGCTTTTTGTTTTGTTTTGTTGCCTTTACAGATCACCATGGTAAAACTCACTGCAGCGTTGAAGTCAGTTGTCTTGTCACCAGAGTCAGACGTCAGGCAGAAGGTGGAAGAGTCCCAGGAGGAACTTGAGTTGTGCATGAGGACAGCTGAACAGTTACTTGCACAAAGAGAGAGCCCCAGTGGACTCATCTCAAAATACAAGGTAGGAATCCTTTCATCTCCTTGCAGAGGAAATTTATCATTACTTAAGATGTTTCCTTCACCGTAATTATATACAAAGCTACTGTAACTGGAAAAAAACTTTCCCCATTTTATACATTGTTCCCCTGAGTCTATTAAAAGTAAACATTTGAGCAAAGCATATATTAATTCAAATTTTATCACCGAGCTGCTAAGTGTACTTGGTGATAGAGTGTAAAGAGCATGACTGACTTTGACATTGAGGAAGAATTCTCAGGCTTTTTTATTTGTAAGATGGGCATCATAATGCCAGCACTATCCAGCTGCCAGCTAGGCTGCGAGGCTTTCCATGAAAATAAGGTTTGTGAAGGCACCACGCACAGCTGAAACCCTCTGAATGTATAAAAACGCTGTTATTATTAAAATGCTTTGATAAGGTATTCCTGGGTATGTACTTGTCTGTAAGTTAAAAACTCCCAGTGTTGTTTTGTCTGGAGATAGTTTCCCAGGTTTTTTTCCCTATGTTTCTTAGACAACAGCAGCATCTTAAGACATAACTAACCTGAGTATTGTAAATGCACTATTTTTCACACAATGGGAAGAACTTGGGGACAATTTGAAGCAAAGGGAAAATAGGATCTCTATTTTACTTGTTCTTTTTTTTTTTTTTTTTTTTGGTACCGGGGATCGAACTCGTGTGCTTGCGAGGCAGGCAGCAGAACCATTGAGCTAAATCCCCGGCCCAGGATCTCTATTTTAGAACACTGGGGAGGTGAGGTCGGACGTGGTCTTGCTCATTCACTCATTCAGCATTGAGCACAGTTATACAGACTTCAAATGAGCCAGGCATTTGGGGCAAGGTAAATGCACTAAACCGGCCCTCGCAGTCCTGCTGCTCCTGCTCTCTGTGGGAAAGGCACCCTTGCAGGAGGCTGTCTTCATTCTCATCAAGGCCTCCAGCTAGACCTTTTCTGGGCCTCAGCCTTGTTTTGCCTTCCCGGATTATTAACCACACTGGTCCTCGTTTTCAGCCATTTCGTAATTGCTTTCTCCATGACCTGTCTCCTGCTTGACCTTAATACTCCGAATTTTGCCAGCCACCAGCTGTCTTTGTTCCCTGCTTTTACTTCAAGTTACTAAGAGGGCAGAATTGACTTTAAGAGGGAGTCATTTTAAAAATAATCATGAGGCTGGATTTCAGGAGGGCAGATTCCATCTGCCAAGCAAAGGGAGACAAAAACTTTAGAGGTTCCTTGGCCCCTTCTGTAGCAGAGAAGAGCTAAGTGTTGGGTCTTGGGCTATGTTCCTCTCCTTGCCCACCTGCCTCTTGGGATTTGAGGCCAGAGATTCTTCCTTTTGGCCTCTGGCATGTAGTGAAATGGATACACTTTCTCAGCAGAAGCAAGACCGTGCTCTGTCAGCTATTTCTCCATGGTTGCACAGGCAGTGCAAGGCCCTGCTATCTGTTGGCCTTGGGGTCATTCCCATGTCATAATTTAGCAATTAGCAAAGAAGCCTTGGAGAAGGGTGCTCAAGCTCAGCAGTGTGCCTCTCCACAGCAGGCGCCTCATGCATGTAGTGAGTGAGTGAATGAATCCTCACGCTGCTTAATTGCCTTCTGCTCCGGAATTTCTTCCATCTTCTCTCTCCTGTAGGTTTCCTGTTCTTTCCACAGGTCTCAAACTAGTTTGTGTTCTGGTCTAGCCAGATTTCTTCCCTCACAGAGCCTGCCAGGTTAGGAGCAGACGTATTCCTGGCAAAGCTGTCCCCATCCCTGTCCACTGCTGCTTTGAATTGATGAAAAGGTGTATTGTAGGCTCCTTACAACATAACAATGATTATACCTGATATTAAATATTTGCCATATAAATCCCACCATAAAATTTATCTTATTGCAGTTCTGACCTGTAATACACACTGATGTACTCTTCATATTCTGTTTCTTATGAAGTACACTTGTCTGCCTGATACATAAAAACTTGAGATTTTAGACAGTTGCCATCGTCTCTTTTGTACAATAATTAATGATTGTATTTTAATGATCAGGAAGCAACCGAAATTATTGTGACTGTCACGAAGATACCAAGTATATAACTATATTTAAAGAATAAGTAGTTTGTAATTCTTTTCAAAAGAATTAAAGAGATGCAAAAAGAACATCAGCCTCAGTTTACAAAGAGATGTCTCCTGTGCATCTTGCAGTAGTCATCAGGGTCCCTTCTGGTTCTCTGCCTGTCAGAGACCTCTCAAAGTGGTTTGGAGGGCTTGACAGCATAATGAAATTTCCATGTTCTTGTTTGCATTTTTTTTTCCAGGAAGCACTAAAAATTTCTAATGCCAACAGTCTGGCCAAGTATTTGAAAGCTGTTGAAGAACTGAAGCCTGATGTCTCTGAGGATGCACAGCTGTCTCTGGAAGAGAAGAGTAGAGAGGCCTGTGTCAAATGGGAGGTAGGACACACATGTGCTTATGGGGCTGAGCCAGGACTTGTTGGGCGTCTACTCCGTGTTAAAGGTGGGGTGATGCCAGCAGGGGCTGGTCCCAGGTCTGCATGAGCTGGGTCGTGTCTCCCTTCAGTCTGACACCACTGTCACGATTGCAGAGCACCTGGAGGGAAAGAGGGAGAGCCTGAAGTGTTTCCTTTCCTCCCTCCTTTGGGTACTTTTTGTGGCAGAAACTCTCTCTTATCCCGGAGCCCCAGCTTCTGATGCATGTTGTTTCTTCCTGGGCTCCACAGAAGCACCCATCCCAGGGACAGGAGCAGCTTTCCTGGTGCTCATCTCTGGGTGCTTGTCTGTCCTCTGATTGACTGCTCTGAGCTTTCACCCCTGGTGTGATAATTCCCTGCATTTAACATTCTCAGAGTGAAGTATTTAGTGTTTTCCGCTGTCCTTGTTGGATGTGGACTGAGACGACATCTTGACACACATACATATACAGAATTTCATAGTGAAATAGGTATGGGCTTTGGTGGCAGGCAAACCTAGACTCAGAAGCTATGGCCCTGGACAAGTTATTTAACTTTTAGGAACTTCAGTGATAAAATGGGAATAACATAACTCACTTGGCAGGATTGTTACAAAGATTTATACAAAGGATCTCTTCCAGAGATTATTTTCAATAAATGGTAATTAGTATTAAAAACATGTATGTATGCATGTGCATATATCTATAGTCAGCCTTCCATGTGTGTGGGTTCCACATCTGTGGATCCGTCAACTGCAGATCAAAAAGTATTTGAGAGGGCCGGGGATTTAGCTAAGTGGTCCTGCTGCCTGGCTTGCAGGCGCAGGGTCCTGAGTTTCATCCCTGGTACTAAAAGAAAAAAAGTATTTGTGGAAAAAAAAAAACCCTCATCTGTACTGAATATGGTCTTTTCATTCCATAAATAATATAATATAACAGCTGTTTACATAGCTTTTACTTAGGTATTATAAATACTCCAGAGATGATTTAAAGTATACCGTAGGGCCAGGGATTTAGCTCAGTGGTTTCACTGCCTGCTCCTCAAGTGCAAGGACCCGAGTTCGATCCCCGGTACCAAAAAAAAATAAAATAAAATAAAGTATACAGGAGGATGTTTGTAGGTTATATGCAAATGCTGTGCCATTTTAGGTAAGGACTTGAGTATCCTCACATTTGTATTTATGGGTACAGGGGAAGGGGGTGCTGGAACTAATCTCTCAGCAAGAACTGCACGTACATGGATGTAATTGAATTGAATAACTATTGTTAAAGGTTCTCCTAAAACACATCTCAAAATTAAATTTTAAATTTTAAAATAATTTTAGATTCAAAGAATTATTATTATTTTTTGGCATCGGGGATTGAACTCGGGTCCTTGCACTTGCGCAGCAGGTGGAGAAACCAAGATTCAAAGAATTATTGCAAAGGTGGTTCAGAGAGTTCCAGTCTGCCCCAGGCCTGGCTCCGCTAGCATTAACACCTTACATTAGTGTAGTACCCTGGGCCAATATGGAGTTTTAAAAATTTGTTATTTATCTGTTTATTTTTTGCGATACTGGGGAGTGAACTAGGGTCTGTGTATGCTAGGTAAGTCTTCTCCCACTGAGCTACATCCATAGTCTGATTTTTTTATTTTGAGGCTGGCTCTTGCCAAGTTGCTCAGGCTGGTCTTGAACTTGCAGCCCTCTTTTTTCAGCCTCTCAAATCGATGAGATTCCAGACATGCAGCATCATGCCCTGCATTGATACGTTATTATTAACTGAAGCTTGTACTTTTTTCAGAGCCCCACGCTTTCCCTCTGTCTGTTCCAGGATCTCATCCAGGATACACATTATGTTTATTTTTATGTCTCCTTAGCTTCAGATATGTGTTTTCTCCAAATCTGTAGCTTGTCTTTCATATTCTTAATAGTGTCTTTCATACCAAAACCATACTTTTTTTAGTTAGAAACTAAATTTTAAAAAATGTTAATGGGCTCTGGATGCAGCCCTTCCACTCCTGAAACCCGGTTCAGTTCAGCTCCCCTGTGAGCTGGCAGGGCAGCACCGCTCCCTCCCACTGCCTCAGCCCTGCCCTCCTCCACAGTGACACCCCCCCCCCCCGTTCCAGTAACTGGACCTTGGGCCAATCGAGGCCAGACTCCAACTGACAGGCCCACTGCCTGCAGGCCCCTCCCTTTCAGCCAATGGTGACACCACTTTCTGGGGCATGTGCCTGTGCAGTCATGGGCCTCACACTACCCACAGAGCTGCCCAGGAGGAAAGCATACAGTCCAGTGTTCCAGCTCCACAGGTCCCGCACCATCCACTCCTGCGTTCCTGGTGCCCTGCTGCTCCCACTCCGCAGCCTGTGGCCGGTGTCTTCCCTGTCCTCAGTGACACGTTGCCCAGGTGAGGTGGGAAGGAAATCTGACCCGGAACCAGATGTGACCCAGTCCCTCGTCCAGAAGAGGCCTCTGTGCGGCCCTGGGGGACAGTCCTCCTGCCCGGTCTGTGACCACTGCCCACACGCTTCCCAGGGCAGATGCCTGTGATGGGCATATCTTCTGTGGTGTTGATGTTCCCTTCTTCATTTACAGAATTTTTTAGTGTAAAAATTGCACTCAACTCTATAAAGGGAAATGCTTTTTGTAGCTCATATAAAAAGGTTCCGTATTTGTAGTATACTGCAGTAATATTTTCTATATCCAGCTCTTTAAGTGATCCTTGTTCTGTTGGCTTTGAGTAAATATGTTTGCCCTAGTTGAATTAAGGAACTTTAAGGATTATAAAATGAAAGCAAAAAAATAAAGTATTTGTTTTCTGCTAGATACAAAAAAAAAATGTACTATGGCTGACTTTGAGTCTAATCTGAATGTATATGTATTTTATTGAACATTGTTTAAACATTGTTATCACTTACATTTTGTTTTCTGTTTATATTTTTTTCACTTTTCTACCTTTTCCAGCTTCTTTTTCACATTCTCAAACTTTCCTGTTTCCTTTTATTTTTCTTCTAATGGGTTAAAAGTGAGTACTTGAGTGGTTCATTAGTTACTAATAGTTTAGTAGTTGCTCTAGAGCTTCAACATGTATTTGATATAATGCTTCATAAAGTTCCTATCTGTGTTCTTCTCCCAAGCGGACTAAAGACTGTATTTTGAGGATCATCATATTTAAATATCCTCTAATCAATTATTAGTGATCCTAATGATTGGTTTTTTGTTTTGTTTTTTTGTTTTGTAGTACTGGGTTATAAGCCCATAAAAAGGAAAATAAAAATCTTTCTTTTGAAATACTAAAAAAAAAAAATGTTAATGGTCTGGGATATTATAAAACATTCTCTTCACAGATACATGGATGAATCAAAATATTAGTTAAGCTCCAGTTCTTTCTGTTACTACAAATATTTGTGTTGTTTCTACAAATGGTTTTCACTGTATTCTGTTCCTGTGATTAATATGTTCCCTTTTTTTGCAGTCTCTTCATCATGAAATTTCTTTGTATATTCAACAATTAAAAATAGACATTGAAAAAGGAAAGCTTAATGATATTATTTCAAAACTTGAAAAGCAAATAAATAAAGAAAAGAAACTTATTCGTAGAGGAAAAACCAAGGGCCTCATCAAGGAGCATGAGGTAAAACAAACTATTTCCACTGAAATTTTGTCACCGTGTTGTGGTCTAGGTCAAATAATTGTGTGTCTCCTTAGCCTAGGATTAAGTCTGCTCTGGAAATTGCTTCAGTCCCTGAGGATTGTCATTGAGGTGGCGCAGGCTCCACCTGTCCCTGTGCTTCTTAATTCAGAAGTGAGGAGATTCAGCGGGGAGTTACTGTTTCACGATTCCCCTTTGATACATTTCTGCTCCCCTCATCCTGACTCTGGTCATGATGGTGTCACCTATTGCTGAAGTACCTGCTAGGGCATGGTGTTCTCAGAAGTGCAGCTTTTGTGAAAAGGAGCAAATCAAAATAGAAAGCAACATGGGGCAGATCTAATCATCTCTGTCGGCCTCTGTCCTGTTTGGTTGCTTTTATGGATTTGGTAGGGCTGACCCTCTTTTCAGCTCTTTTTAAGCATCTGCTGCTGCAGCTCTCTCAATGTCAGGCTGTTTCACACAGGTTGGAAGGAGAATCGGTTTTAGTGGGCTTCACAGATTGTCTGTTTTTCTTGTGTTATTGCTGTGTGTCTCTCCCCTGCCCCAGAGCCTTGCCAGCATTTGGTATTTGATTTCTTGATGATGGCTGTTCTTTTTGGAGTAAGATTCTCAGTGTTATTTTAATTTGCATTTCACTTATGGCCAGTGATATCAAACAGTTTTTCATGGGCTTGTTGGCCATCTATACTTCCTCTGAGAAGTGTTACTCATTTCGGTTGTCCATATATTCTTTTTTTTGTACCGGGGATCAAACTAAGGACCTTGCACTTGCCAGGCAGGTGCAGCACCACTGAGCTACATCCTTGGCCCTGGTTGTCCATATTTTGATTGGGTTGGAATTGGCCTTTTGAACCACAGATCTTAAGTCACGTGCTCCTCACGATGCCCAGAACAACACTGCACTCTTCAGCAGGCTACTCGGTTCCTGCCGAGCCTGGCTCAGGAGACTCTGTTAGTGTCTCTCCTGTGACTTCCCCTCAGACTTAGAGAACGTGTCCTTGTTTCTTCCACATGCAGCACAGATAGTCCCCTCTTGTGATGCAGGCTTGATTCCTGAAAGCAGGTAGCAGCTCTCTCTCTTTTTTAATTTTTATTTTATTGGTACATTTTAGGTAAACAATATAATTATATTTATCACTGGAAATTTGTACCCTTACATAATCTCTCTTGGCTCTTATTTTTCCCCCTTGCCCTGCCCTCCCTTCAACCCCTCCATCCCTCCCTATTTATGAAGACTTTGTTTCCATTTTCTCATTTTCTCATATTAATTTCATTCCCTTCTTTCCTTTTCCCTACCCCTCCCACTTCCCCTTCCCCTTTGCCCCTTTTCTTCCTATTTCACATTACCTATTATACCTTTTAGTCCTTATTTACACTTT